TGTTTCTGAGCCTAATTCCAGGTTCTGGTATTGATATTTAAAGCCATAAAGCTTGGGATCAGGATACCTTAAAAACTGCCTGATTGAACTCTGCTGTTAGAGCCGCTATGAGTACTGGGAAGGCCATCTCAAGATTTTATTATTCCACGGGTGGCCAATATGTTCCTGCGGCAGTCAAAGTATTCAACGCTGAAGTTGCTAGGCAGATGCTATATGCTGCTGGGGTCTGGATCAGTGCAGTAACGGACAATATCAACAGGCCTCTATTAAGATTCCTACACAATATTCTGTGAACATCTCAGTGTGTGTTTGGAATAGCCCTCAGAGCTGAAGTTAGGGAGATGTCTTATGAAGTAAAGGCCTGGAGAAGAGCATTCAATTTGAAAATTAGGACTCTAAAATCAAACCCAGATCTAAACTAACTTGGACTAGTTATGCTGGACCACCTACACAAGTGATTGGGACATATTACTGGGCCATAAACTATTACGTCTGGGTATTTGAAAATTAGTGATAGAAGTCAGAAGTAGACAAGAACTGTCACAGCTCATTAGAAGACATTTGAGGGACTCTTGACTATGAGAGCATGTCGATTAGACCCTGCAAAGTATGCTTAACCTTTCCAGCAGGCATTCAGCCTCCAACAACAATGCCAAACTACTTATCTGAGATAATTCTTCCGAAGTATAGAAGGGCATTCATGCTAGAGTGCCTGAATGCCCTACCTTCAGCTGTGATGTCAGGAAGATTTAATGGGATTTCATAGGTTGACTCTGTAATTGCAGCAGCAGTAGAATTGACTCTGTGGATCATATTTGGCTTGATTGTCCCAAATTTGCAGCTCTAAGAGATGAACTGATCTCCCCTTTATTTAATTAGGACTTCCTCTCCAGAAGCAAAATCATCCTGGTTACTTAGAGACAAAGACAAACAAACTACTCTGCATGTGGCAAAATTTCTAGCAGCTGTTGTCAAATCATAGACAACTTTTGCAGTAGCAACCTTTAAAATCTTCCATGTTTTCCTGTGGAACAAGGTTTATTGTGGGATGAGGGTTTGCTGTTTTTGACTCCGGTTGCAAAAACAGTAAAAACAATAATAATAAAAACAGCATACATACATTTTAAATACCTGCTCCCATATGAACCTATCCATCTACTCTGGTCGTCTTTAGAGGCCCTGTTTCAAGTACCCCTGCCAGCTGAGGCGAAAAACAGGTGGCAACCCAAGAAAAGGCCTTCTTAGTCATGGTGCTGAAACTTTGGAACACCTTCCCCAGGAAGATTTGCCTCTATCATACTCTAGTGGGCGAGGAGTTGTTTTGTTTGGCATTCCCCCACCAACTGTTATTGGCCCCCCCCCTCTGTTGTTGTTATGTGTGTTCAGTACGTTTAAATAGTTTATATACACTTATACACGGGTCAGTCACGCGGGATCCTTGGGCATTGCCCACTGTAATTAATCTGTATTTAACTGTTTTAAAATGTTTTATTGTGTTTTTACTGCACTGTGTGCCTTTACTGTTGAACGACGGTGTATTACATCCGTATATTGTAAGCCGCCCTGAGCCCGCGCGCGGGGAGGGCGGGGTATAAATAAAATAAAATAAAATAAAAATAAATAAATACATTTTAAATGCTGTTTTAATGTCTTGATGTTTTAATGTTGAAATATGTTAATGTTTTGATGTTCACTGCCTCGAGGACCCTATCTGGGTGGAAAGGCAGCATACATACGTTTTAAATAAATAAATATCTATGCAGTTGTTCTTAAATACTGATTTTACTGTATGTCCCAATAAAGATATTTACACAATGAAATGACATTCTAGTGCATCAAATACATAAGGATATAGAGAGAGTGCTAACCAACAATTACTGATAAAACTATTTAAACGTTGTACATCATCAAAGGCAACACTCAGTCCTGTGAAACATGTTCATAAATATGTGACGAAGTGGTCTGTTGGCCTTTCAAGCAGGGATGCAGGCTTCCCCCGGCTTTCCATAATCCTGCCATCCTGATTTGCTGACAGTAGAATTTTACCCAGGGCTATTAAAAGGCATGAAAGGTTATTTTTTCCCTTCCAAAGAATCTAACCCACATCTTGAGACCCTGGTCAAGATTCACTGGCCACACAATATTAGCATGTGTGCATGTGCATGCATGTGTACAGAAGGAGGACACTGAATCTTCTTTAATAAATGAAAGCACTTCATAAAAGTTTAAAATACTAAGAAATTAGTTTACACTTAAAATCTTTTATCAATTTTATAATCTTCTTATGTTTGCAATTTTCCACACATCAATTCCATTTGCTCGTGGATGGGCAACATAATGGTGTAGAGAACTGAAGAAGATTAATATATTTGGCCTGGTTTTCAAAGCTGTTGAATACACATTACTTCTGTGTCAATATACACACAAAGAAAATGAAGTCAAATAGATCTGGCTTTCCAAACATGGACAGGATGACTGTACCTTTAATAACTGCTTCACCACCACCACCACCCCATCACATTATTCCTGACTGGACTTACTTTTGCTTACAACAAGAAATGGTGTGCAGTGTGACAAACATAATAGTAAGTTCTGCATCTCTCTCTGCCTACCATTCATCCACTCCAAACCACCTCCAATCGGGCTTTATAGCTCTGGAGCAGACTTGTGTTCTAACACACAGGTCAGCTACATTCACTTCTAGTTAGGGTCTAAGTGATAGAATGTTGGCAGAAGCAACTTGTCATGCAGGAATGAGAAAATCTGCCCCAGGGCATGGTTAGAAGGTGCATAATACTGCAATTTAGACACTATGTGTATGAGAATTTTTCTGGGAATCCTATGACTGCCACCTTGAGTTCCAAGATGGAAGAAAGGCAGGATTTAAATGCAACAAATACTCTGTTCAGCTTAATTATTGACAGTCCCACAGATCTTTTACAGATTTGAACCGGTTTAATCCATTTGTTTTCTGGACAGAAGTTTGAAGAGTAAGCCCAAACACTTTGACTTCTTAATAGTGTTGTCATTTTGCGGAACACTTTTAAATCAGAATTACCATTTCTGTCTTTAGCAAGTAGACCATCTGCCTTACAGTGGGGTCTAGATTATGTGGGGGTTCTTTTAAAAAAATCATCATTCTATCAAACAGATAATGATGACTGCATTATTCTTACCTGTATGTGGTAAGTTTTAAAATTATCAGTAAAGCCCTGTGGGTTTTCCCCATAATTCAACCAAATTCAACCAGTTTTTAGTCTAAAAAGTAAGGACACATACATGTTCATGTACATATATATGCGGGTGTATATTATTTTCTCTGGATCATGCTATGCAGTATCTACAATTATAATCAAGACTTTGTCGAAAAGAAAGTGTGAAATATTTCATCTTCCATTCCAGTCAGTTTTTTCTGCCATTTGACATAACTCTGCTAAATGGCCACTTGAATTACAACAGTTGTACTTCATATTATGTGTTCTCAATTTCCCCCTAATGTTATTCACAACTTATAAAATTATCTACACATTTTGACTACATTTTCAGCTCATAACCAAGATACTATTAGTAACAAGAATTATTACTATAGTAATAACAACAATCTTCAAACTCATATTCTCAAATCTGGATCCTTTATAAAAAATGATAATACACAAGCAACTGCTTTAGATCACTAGAGAGTCACAAACTAAGACCATAATCTTCTGGAGGTTGTCCAAAGCCAACACATTTGTAGATGTTGATGTCTTTGATGTCCATTCAAATAAAAATTCAGTGTTGTAATCATTATCTTGTTACTTCCCCAAAGAGTATTAGTAGTCATAACCACACTATTTCTCTGCCTATTATATTCATGGTGCAGAAGAACAGACAGGGCCAGAAGCCAACCACTGTGCCAGATCACTGAGTCCTGATGGATACTTTACAATTAGACAGCTACCCATCTTGATCTATTACAATTAGACAGCAATTCAATTAAAATGCAATACTAATCTTAAAACAACAGTAAAATTCCTTTTCAAAAACAAATAGCATGTTTTGTTAAACTTTTGGTGGTTCTATTTAAGTCAAGAAGTAGAGACCGTCTGTATTCCCTCTTTGCATCAAAATAACTGTTAGGTAACAAAACTTACATGTTGTTATATGTATTAACCACACTGTGGTACACCAAGATAAGCTGCATGTCACCGATCAACTATGCTGCCTTTTTTCAAGCAACTAAGCTTCATGATGCAATCCTGGCAACCATGAAGCCTATACTAAACAGTCCAATTTGTTCCACAACTACTGTCAATATTCTCTGTATGGTAATACAGGCTTATATTTATTCAACATGTGTGGTCCATGTTTTCAGAAGATGAAACACTGTACCTCAGCAAAACAGTGAATGTATACTTACAATCTAATTAGCCACTTGTTGAATATTCTACACCACAGTAACAAATATACTGGCATGGCAGATCATTATTTTCCATCTTTGTCATATTTAACATCAAATAATAAAGGAAAATTAATTTTAGTTAGCCACATGAGAAAATACTGTTTTCTTTTCACTATCAATAAAGTCCTGTGTTAGCAACAGAACACAAGCTTCAATACCAACCCTGATCAGAGATTTACAAGCACAGTCTCTGGGTAGCCTTCATCTATTATAACTATTCAAAAAACAATGACTGCATCGTTGTTAATGTATGCTGAGAATATAAATAATTAACCCTCTGAGATATGGCAGAGAAGAGGTTTCCATCAAGAGAAAAATGCAACTGATCCATTCAGTCTACACATCATATGACAGGGAGAAAAACTCTTCTCATATATGTGAGTGCATATGTATATTTTTAAAAGAACAGCTTTGTTATAAACATAGGATGTTTTCTCAGACTGACTAATATTGTTCTTACTTCAGTTTATCTTTTGCGGTTTAAATATTATTAAAGAAAATTAAGCCCTGCCTCTCAGAAACACAATAAAGGAATGGCACACAAAATCTCTTCACAAACCTGTTGCTGTGAATATGGCATTCCTCCCATGGAACCTGGAGTCCGGGTCTGCATACTCATTGGATAGCGTTGTGGTCCTGGAGGTCCATATGACTGCCCTGGATATGGACTGCTTGGCTGTGTCTGGGTGTGAGGGTTGTTGCCCACTGCGTACAACTGAGGTCTTTTCATTACCATTGGATCCATTGGGTTGCCCTACCAATGAGAAAGTAAAAAGGTATATTAAATATACTGTATGAAGAATTTTAATGGTTGATGTAATTTGAAATCAGATTTAAAAATTGCAATATAGAAAAAGCTGCAGTGTAATTTGTGATTTTTATACATTATAACCACAATCCAGAATAGATGTTCATATGATTAGCATTATAATGGTGAAGAACTTCAAGCACATATATTTGACAATACATGCATGCCTAGTTCCTCCCAAATAGATTATGCCCCATATGTTCTAACTGCACTGCCTTGTTACAATTTTGCAGTACAAGTCAATAAGAAAGTGAGATATAGATTGCAGTTCAGATGAAAGACTTTTCTGATTTCCTGTTGCTTGGTTTCATAAAACAATAAATAAGATTTCTTTTTCCTTGCTATACATTATATAGTGTCCTTACAGATACTCATGAGTCATTGCTAAAGTTATCCATGATAAAGAAAGAGACACACATGACTGCACAGAACTATTAAGGCTCTGTACGACATAAACTATTCAGACATCTCACAAGGACTGGACTACAATATGCATTTCTTCCCATAAATACCACTTATTGAACATCTGGAGGGTTGGGATCACAGCTATTCAAATAAAACTTCTAAACACCTGGCTGTTTCTCTTTAAAGTGCTACTGTGTGCAAAAGCAAAACTACCTTTTCGGTGCAGGTAATTTAAATAAGCAATTTGGTGGTTCAGTGTGCAGGGTTACAAAATTACTGAAATTCTAAAAAATTGACTGTGCATATACCATTATGAACCATGATAAAACATTCCAAATTTATTGTTAATGTACCTGGACTTTTCTAAGGCATCTGAAGTTTTAAGTAATGAACTAGATTCTACAAACTGCAAATGTTCCCACCTCTTTTCCCCAGCAGTCGCCTGAGACCTCTGAAAAGTATGTGCTTGTACTTATGGGTACACCATAAACAAAATGCAGTGGCACAAAGGGAGCTGCTATGGGTAGGGGGAACAGGGTAACTTTGCCTAGCAAAGGGCTCCATCAGTGTAAAAGGAAGTTACATGATGTCAAATCTCCTTTCATAGCAGCCCCTGTGCCCCATCTCAATTTGTCCATCGGGTTCCCATGATATATCACCTTTTCAGAGGTCTAAAGAGGCTGCTGGGAAAAGGGGATGTGGGAAAGCTATGTAACCATGAGCACTTGTAATACATGGCATTCCAAATGAATCAGTTTTGCAGTTTTGAAAGTTGAAATGTACCAGAAAAACAATTGTTAGCACAATCTTTTCAAAATGCATGAATATTCACTTACTGATTTCCCTGTGTTTAATCAAAAGTTGCTTATAGAAACATGTCAGTTGCATTTCTTTCCTAAATTACTAATGAGCCACATTTCTCTCATACACTTTTCTTTCATATATTTATGTTTTATTCTTACCCATAACTATTTTCTATTATTTCCCTTATCTTTTTTCTTGTATGTACTAATCAACACTACGCATTTTTCTACAGTTTTCCTTATCTGCACCTCACTACCAGTCAATGTATCTAATAGTCAATATGGCCCATTCTACAGATCCTTAAATCTGTAGACCAGGGCCACATTCAGAGAAACAGCACCAAGACGTGGAAGAAGTACAAAACACAAAATAAGAGCCCTTCATACCAAATATCATGATAAAACACCAGCCACACTTAAATTCGTTTTTATGCCCTTCCATCCATCTAGTTTGAAAGTTATTACATCCGTTTTAGCAGTGTTCTAGGAAATGTTTTCTGCAGACAATCAAGAACTACCTAGATGGTAGTTTTATAACAGCCAGCCATCAATAAATTGAGATGTCTTTCACCATGCATATGAAAGACAGCAGTCCAAGTTTCCTACTTCTGCTTAGCCTATGTGTGTACTAGTGATGTGTGTTTTCCAGAAAACATGAATTGGAAATTTTTCTGGAAAACTTTCTGATGCCCTTCATATTTATGTTTATTTAACCTGAAGTCACTGAAAACTGTTCATAAACTAATTTTAGCACATGAAAAGAAGTCAAGGTTGCCATCCAATTCAACAGAATTTGAGTTTCGGTTATAGAGTTTTAGCATTGGCTTTTGATTTCAACTGCACAATGAATCAGGCGAATTCATAATTTGATCCTTTATTTGTATTATTCCCCCCCCCATTTACTAATCTATAAAACATATATACTCTCTTGCACAATTCCTTGGGATAATTATCTAAAAACATTAATTACAGCTTTGAAACAGCCAAGATTGTCTAATATTGTATTGTCAATGGCATCCATTCATTGCTGTTAGTTTTATGAAATAATAAATCTTCAGAAATTGAAATTTTTCCACACAAAAATAAAGTAAATTTTCTATTTTCTACCCCATAGTCTCCTCCCAAATGCTACCCCAGTCTCCCAAATGCTATTCGTTCATGAAGTGAGCACTTTGTGAAAGGTGTGACCAGTCTAGATGTAGTAGGTAATTAATACATGCAAATATTTTAAAGATGGTGATACCTGTCTATTGTTATGAAGTAACTGCACACAAATGTTAGGTTTTCACACAGCCCTTCCTCATCACAAATCAGCTGCCTAGCCCTTTATTAAATGGAACATATTACTGTACTTCTTCTGCACTTGCTACCCATGTGTTTTTGAGCCCAATTCAGAGTACTATTTCTAACCTTTAGAGCCCTAAACAGCTTGGGGCCCAGGTACTTGAAGGACTGCTTCCTTCCATATTGTCCACTCTGCCAGCTAACATCTGCCTCAGAAACGCAGTTCTTTGTGTGCCTAGCTTCAGTTGTGGGGGCGGGGGACAAAGACAGGACTTTTTCAGTAGTGGCACCTCGTATATGGAATTTCTTTCCCCCTTGAGGCTCACCTGGCACCTATGTTGCTTTCTTTAGATGCCAGGTCCAAACATTTCTATTCATCCAGGCTTTTAATTAAAGGGCTGGGTTGGGTTTTTAATACTGGATTTATAATATCATTTAATTTTGTTGTTATTGTGTTATCATCATCATCATCATCATCATCATCATCATTATTATTATCAGAGGTTGATTCGGGGGGATCGCAGGGGATCGCTGTTCCCCCGGTTGAGGTGTGGAGGCGGGGCACACGACGAAGCCCCACCCCCGCTTCCGGCCAACCCTGCTTCCGGCCCTCATTCAGCCAGGAGGAGGCAGGAGAAGAGGGAGGGTAAGTTGCTTCCTCCCTGCCTCTCCCCACCCCTGCCTGCCTGGGGCCAGGGAAGGCCTTGGCGGGGCTTCCTCGCACTCCCG